CAAGTGTTCTTGCCTAGCTGAAGGTTTTGGGGGTTCTGTTTGGCTTTAGTGGTTGTTTTTTTTACAACACTTAAGGCAGTTGCAGATCTTTCTCTTGTGCAACCCTTTAATTTTATAAACAGGAAAACAAAACAAAATGGCAGGGTGAGGATATACAGAAATATAGAGGCTTTATTTGTTTAAATACATAACCAACATAATGAGTATCTCTCAACAAGTATAAATTATTGTTATCCTTCCCATCATACCTGCCAGCAGGAAAAATAAACTGGATTTAATTTGTTAAACAGATGATACCTTGATCTACAAATTCTCTCCTAAGAGCCACTCTAATCTTTTTTAGAATATATGCTTAAGAGAACAAGGGAGGAGAAGGTAGAAAAAAATATTTTTCAGTAGTCTCATTAAATGAAAACTAACCACACCTTAATCCTGCAAATCAAAGCCAGGCATTTGACAAAGAAACTCTCCCGGTTTTGAGGAACAAAATGTAATGTGTAAATATTTGTCCCTACCAGTAATGTATGTTATCAATTTGGCCTCTATTATAAAAAATATATTTAAAATCCATTCATAAAAATTCTTGGGTTTTTTTCCTTAAATATGAGTAAACATTCAAAAAGAACAGTATATTTCAAGTATCTGATTTACAGATTTGTAACAGAAGACATGCCAAACACAGCTACGTCTGCGTGCTGCACTTTAAAAGCAAGAGCAAACAGCATTGCTAGGCAAGTGAGACCACCAGCAGATTGCTAACAAGTTAGCATCAACTTATTTTTTTTTTAAGTCTGATAATACGTCTTGTAAATCTAAAATAATTTCAGCGAATCACAGCAGCGCGTAACTGGTTAACTACTCTGACACCAGAAGGACCAGGGAAAACGGTGTACCATAAGAGCATCAAAATACTAAACTAATAGTTAAAGCAAAAGAAAATTCAAATAAGGCAGTTGCAACAGGGCCTTGAGAAGCCAGCCAGGGGGCAAACCAGCCAGGGGGACAGGAGCAGAGGGTGGCGGGCGAGGCAGGCGCGGAGCAGAGGGCGGCCGGAGCCGGCGATGCGCCCAAGGTCGCGCCCGAAGAGCCCGGGTCACCGCCGGCCCCCAGCTCCGGCGGCGCCAGGGAAGGTGACCCCGGCCCGCCCGGCCGCCCCCTCCCTCGCCTCCGCGGGAAGGCGCTCCAGGTGAATTCGCCTGGCCGCCAAACGCGTCCGGCGCCTTCCCCGGGCGGCGGCGCTTCCTCGGCCCGCTCCCGGGTGGCCCTGCCCGCGCCCGGCGGGAGCCGCCAGCGGCAGCACCTCTGCCCGCCGAGGGGCCGGAGCGCACAGCCCGGGCGGCCTCGGAACCCCGCTCGGCCCGGGGGTGGCGCGGCCGCCGCGCCCGCCCGCGCCCCTCCCGCGGGACTCACCGGCCCCGCCGCGCCGAGGCCTCACCCCCCGCCCCGCCGCCGTCGCTGCGTCACCCGGCGGCGCGCTGACGTCACCGGGCAGCAGCAGGCCGCGCGTGAGGCAGCGCCCCGCCCCGCCCCGCGCGGGTCGCGCTGGCGGAGCAGGAGCGGCAGCGCTGAGGCCGCGCCGCCCGTTCCTGGGGCGGCCGTGGGGCGGGGGTGGCCACGGCGGGGCGGCGCCGGCAGGGCCTGTGCGCTCGTCCGGGCAGCGGGCCTGCGGTGCCCAACCCTTGTGAAATAGCGACTGGTGCTCAACCTTCCCTGTCGGCTTCATCTGCTGTTCCGTGGCTACATTCAAAATACACAGAATCACTGAATATGCCGAGTTGGAAGGGACCCTACGAGGATCATCGAGTCCAACTCCTGGCCCCGCGCAGGACATCCCAGGAATGACACCATGTGCCTGACAGCGATCTGTAAATGCTTCTTGAACTCTGTCAGGCTTGGTGCTGTGACCACTTCCCTGGGGAGCCTGTTCTGGTGCCCAACCACCTTCTGGGAGAAAAACCTTTTCTTAATATACAGCCTAAACCTCCCTTGACACAGCTTCATGTCAATCATTCCCTTCGGTCCTACCACTGGTCATCAGAGAGATGGTGCCAGGTGCAGCTCCATCCATCTGAGGAGCGGTCCTTGGAGCAAACCAAGCGGTCTGTAGGCCAGTCCCCTGCTCAAAGTTAAGACTAGATCAGGGTGACTTATGCTTTATGTGACCAAGTCTTGAAAAAATCCCAAGGGCAGACATGTTTCTTTCATAACCATATGCTTACCTGCCTCTTTTCATTCAGTACGAGTTCTGCTTTCCTGAGTCATGAGAACCTCTCCCACAGAATGTGGGCTCATCTCTGCGTAAGAATGAGATTCACTTCTACTGTACTGCACAAAGCTAAATTTAGGCCCTCCAAGAGGCAAAGCATTACATGCTATTTAATTCCATGCTTTATTTAGCAGAAAAGAAGTCTTACTTGGAAGAAGTAAAAACGGCAGTCTGTGAAGAGTGAGAACATCAAATAATACATCTATTGTTGCATGTTAAAAGAATCATCAAGTGTTTATCTTTAATAGTTTATTCTTGTATTTTATAACTGAGAATACTGGTTTTAATTAGCTTTCAGTATGGCAAGCAGCAGTAACTTTTTTTTAGAAAAAAAAAAAAACCATACCTTGCCCCCTTCATGATGTTGCTGTAACGAGTTTGTAGATGCCAGTGGTTTTTTATTAGTTTCCTCTTTATTACTTCATTATCTATTATGTCTGCACTTTGTCAAGCATATAAAAAAAATCAAAAGTCATTCTAAGATTAACAAACATGCTTAAGAGTAACTTTTATGTGATTACTAAGCAGAGAAGCTTTGGCATAGCCTGCTCCCACTCAAGTAGTTATCCACTGCACTACATCTGCACACCCTTTGAATTACTCATCTGATTTATGAACTATCCTGGTTTTAATTACTGGATTCCATACAATTGGGTCAATAGCTTTTCCAGTCACACCTGTATTTTGAAGTGTAGTGAAACAAGACTGAATGAGACACTGCATGCTGCTAAAATATAGACCACCAAGTGACATGCTTGTAAAACTTTTGAGATTTTCTTAACCAATGCCTTGGTCAGACCTACCTCTATTGACTAAAATAAAACTTAGACTAAGTGGAGTCATCAAACTATTAGTCTAAAATAGTTTTTCTATTCACACAACCTAATGAGACACTCTGAATGGCGAGAAACTGCAATTAGCACCTATTTAAGTTCTTTTATTTAATTTTAAGTTCTTACTTCAGAACACCAGCAGCGGATGTGTATGAAAAACACAGTTTAGCCATCAAAACCTGTATCAGCTGCAATCAACCAAGTGCTTTGTCTCATTGCCACAGCTCTGATGCTTCTTGGCACTATACTCATCCTACTAACTTCAGAAGATACCATACTACAGTTACACTACAATAGGCTTCAGAATAAAGAGCTCTCTGAATTGCTGCTGTACTTTGAAATATTGTGTACCTTTTTTTAAAGTAGGGTGAGGTTTCATGATTTAGTTGAGCTCATCCAACTTTCTGCTAGAACGATCAGCTTTACTCATTTGGGAAACCAAGGAGCATTGAACTGGCTCCTCATTCCTGCTTAATAAACTTGGCATAAAACTAACTGAGCATTCAAGAAAAACTTTGTCACTTGCTTAAGCTGAATTAGCCTGCTTGGGGCAGGGAGTGCAATGTCAAAAACCCTGTATTTGGGACGAAGAAGACTAAGATCATTGGTGATCCTACAGCTATTACAACAGCTCACTTGGGAGATCTCACTCACTCCAAACATTATCGTTCCTGTCAAAGTGATTTAACTTGCAGGAGAATAATCAACTGCACAAGGAGCAAAAGAGGGAACAGGCTAAGTATTACTTCTGTAACTATAAGAGGGCAGAAATAGAGAATGCAGCTATGAACCAACAATGTTTATTGGGACAGAAAAAGGCAACTTGGCAAATATTCAAAAAGGGAAAAGAATCTACCGTATATTAATGGCACTGATAAAGCACCACCTGAAGCACAGTATTTGTAGATACTGTAAAGGCCAGACAGAAAATAACATACAAAGGACAACTTAAAGTATCAGGGTTAGTTCATAAAACAGAAAACTGAAAAAAATATCTTTTGAGTTGCTATGTCTACCTTCTAATGAATTTATGATTGCTTGCACATCCATAGGGGGTATAAAGCAGAGCAATAATTTTAACGTTCCTTTTCCCAACACCTCAGATTCAGAAGAAGCATATCTATTTTACTCATTTCCAAGGGTAAAAAAATTATCTTGGACTAGATTTCGTAATTGATTTTTCATGCAGAGTTCTGTAAAACTCCTGAGTTTATATATGCTACTTGTTAAGATGAGGTAGATGAAATTAAAGATGTTTCAGAGAAGGAGACAGGACAGCAACACTTAGCATTTAATTCGTTAACATCTACGTTAATATACTAGAAATCAAATACAATACCTTCTATATTTGTTTTAACTTATAAGCAAGGGAGTTATTTAAAGTTATTATCAACTGTCTACATTAGGTTACTGAAACATCCTGCTAAACAAGTCACACATTTATCTTCTTCCACTGTTACTCCCGATTCATGTTCTTTTATCACCAGATTTCTTCTCAAAAAAGAATCCATAAACCAAACCGCCTTTCAGTCATCCAGAATTCAACAATCAGCAAAGCAACTGGTCACAGCACTTTTAAAATTATTTTGTAGTTTCCCCCATTGCTTTACTGAGAGGTGAATTGCAATGCCATTACACTATCAATAGTCACATAACTGAAGGAGTTAAGTGCTGTTCAAACCAAAATAAGACAAGGCAGAGGCTTTTTTTTTCCTTGTTGGAAGAACAACAGGATTTCAAAAACTCTCCTTATTTTTACACTGTTTATAAGATGTGGAACAGCATAAAATCAACCAATTTGTATAACACATGTAAATGTTACATGTTTTCCTGCTGTTTCCAGGTATGTACCGTCACTCATTTTGAGAGGTTAGATCACAAAGTCTAGTCCTAGGAAACTGTTGTTTCAGATACTATTTTTATTAATTTCCCAATGCAGAATGTACAGAGCACTGAAGTTAAATACAGCCCCAGCCTTGCATTGAAACAAAAATTATGAGCAAGTTCTTCATAGTGTTGAAAGAGACAAGAAGGGTCACTGTGAGTTAGCAGCTATGAGACCTCTTATCTTGGCTGTAAATCAGCAGTCAGGGGCTGCAAGACTGAATTCTTTCTGCTGGATTGATTGATTGCCTCCACAAAGTTTCTTGTTTCAAGACTGTTTAAGGCTGCTCCTTAAAGAGGTTTGCCTGGTATAATATAAGTAAGATTAGAACTTCGATAAACATGCTACTACTCATGTCAAAGTTCGTCTGACATTTTATTTTCTAGTGTACATGATAGGGCATGAAGTCTTCAGGATCTTTTTACCTCAAAAATATTCTTTTTTTCTTCCTTGTTGAAGCTCATCAGTAGTAACAGAGGACTTTTTGTTGTTAGTTTAAATCTAAGCAGTGTGGGATGCAGTGAGTTTCCAGTCAACATATCTTTTGACAGTGTTTAGTGAAATATTAACATAATCAGTGTTCAAGAGGAGAATCTGTGTAAGTGCTCTTCCAGAAAATGGTTCAGTATTCCTACATGGAAACAAATTGTGGTGGCAACACAGGACAAGAAAAAAAGGAATCCAAGTACAGTCAAGTCCAGGGGATAGTTTTAGAGGAGACTCTGAACATGACTGAATCCTATTAAACAAGAATTTCGCCAACACTGTTACAGATTTTCACCAGGGGACTGCAGGTGGGCATCTCTTATATACTATATTTCATTAGAATTAAGTGAGAGTCACCATGTGGTTAGGATTCAAAATTTCAATCCAGTAGCCATCAGGATCCTGAACAAATGCAAGTCCTTTCATTTTACCTATTAGAGAGATAAAAAAAAAAAAAAGATCAAGTTAAGACTGGTTCTTAATGTCAAATATTACTACTTTGAAAAATATTTTTCTTTTTTTCATTTTGCATGAGAATTAGTTCAAATTTAGACAGATAATTCTAAAAATATCAAGATTACTTTTTAATCAGCATTAGATCTTTGTATGCTGGACTGTCAATCATACTCTCAAAGTTGTAGGTTAAAGTCACTTTGGAATTCCATCTTTTGTTGACTGAAGTTTTTTGCATATGCCCCTGTAAGTGTTCACCTGTTTCATAAAACAGGACAGAATAGTTCATGTTTGATCAGTAATGCAGGAAAAAACCCCACACTGGATCTCCCAGCCTGCTCCACAAACAATGTGAAGTACAAAACTTTATAGTCTAAGCTTCCTGTCCTACATACCTTCATTCCATATCACTTCACAGCTCCAAGTCAGCAGCCCTCACTTCAAGTCTCTCAAGGTTTAACAGGTGCTGAACAAAGTTCAAACTCTAAAATGCTAGAAATACCAAGTTCAATTCTTAAATCAATAAATCTGTGTTCAAGTTAAGTTTTCAGCTATACTTCCTATATTTGTTTCAGCTGAGAACACAGTGAATAGGATGAAAATCCCTTAAGTCTCTTTTCAATTACTAGTATTAAATGTCTGTTTTGGAACGCATCAGTCCTAAAATTCTCACGAGATTTTCATTAAAGGGAATCCAGTTGAAAAATGCAAGATCTCACCACTCACTTCTGCATTTTAGGCTATTCTGATATTTTACTAAAGGTCAGGCTGCATACAGAAGGCACACAGCAGACTCATGAGCTACTGTTATAGAGATGGATCTATTGCCAGTTTTGCCCACTGTATTAGAGGTGCAGGTGTAACTGGTTCTAGAACCTTCTAAGCAGTGGCAATTACTAGAAACATGTTACCAGCTGTCCAAAAAGATCTACTGGACAGAATATACTAAAAACAAAGAAAAAAACTGACTTGCATCTCTGATAAAAGACTTACCATCATCTGGTTTCTTCACAAATTTCACTCCTAGTTCTTCGAACCTCTTACAAGCTTTATAGACATCAGGAACAGCAATCCCAATGTGTCCTGTGCAATAAGGCAAAAAGAGTGAAGTAGACTGTAAATATTGCTGCGTGTTCCAGGAAAAAGTTGGCTCAGTACTTCATCCTCTGCAAAACTTTCACATGCTGTAGTTCACATAAAATATGATTTTGTAGAAGAAAAACACAGCTTCCAAAAAGAAGAGCATTTTGGGTATTAACATTATTCTCCTTCAGAGAGTTGTCCTTTGATAATAACTTTTAAAATAAGAACGATAGAGTTGGAATATCTCTAGTTGTTTAGAGAAGAATATTATCTGGAGTAGGAAAAAATGAGATTTTTCAATCAAACTGCTTTATCTGTATTTCCTTTCTTAAAGCACAGCTACATAACAGGATTTTGTTGCATTTGCTCAGTTCAACAGTACAAGGAGTTTATCATTAATGCTGTATTTGCAGAGACTGACACTAGTGCTATGCAAGGCCTGAGCTTACAAACCAATTCAGAAGCTTTAAATGTCAAATGGATAGATTGAGTGTGAAACTTATTTTACAAGCAGTGACCTTTCAAGCACTCAAGAGTATCAAATTAAGCCACACAAATAATATCCTCAGTGCTACAGACAAACAGAATTGTCCTTCTATCTTAAAATGGGTAACCGGTGGATTATAAATTAGAAACCCAAGTGTAAATCAGTTTAAACACCATGATAATCTAATACACAAGAACTGCTGTTTTTCGTTCAGCAGTTACAATTAGCATGTGTTTGCTTGTCAAATGATTAGACTCTTCCTAAAGAATGTAACTCTGGCTCATTACTCTGAAACACATTTGTTTACTTATTTTCACCATCTTCCACAGCATATATGCTGAAAGAAGAGAGATAAAGGATGAGATGCAAGTTCCCCTCTTTCCTACAGGTAGTTTGATTTTTCAAAGTAACCTATTAGACAAGTCTTTTTTATCCAAACAAGTTTAAAATATTTTCTCTACTAATTCACATTTAAAAAAACCCTACAGCATATACCCAATAATCTTTGCACAAAATTGATTTAGATGTTTTCTCAAAAACATTTGAAACTGCATTTTCACCCAAAACCCGAGAGAAAAAATGCAACCACAATAAACCAAAGTTTAAAAACTATAAACACAAAATTAAAGACCTACCAAATCCTCGGGGATCTGAATTGCCATTGTGATAAGACTGCTTTTCATCATTTTCAGTGCCCCAGTTGCTGTAAGAAGTAATTATTACATATTGAAGAAAAGCATCAAAATTAACAAATCATAAATGTTCAGTTTCCCCAGGAGGGTAAGTTCTTCCTCCTAAGAAACCAGAGAATTTCATCTGTTGGCTGCATTCATTAATCAAGATTTTCCCTAGTCATGAGTTCTCGGGATAAGCTTGGGGCTAATCCAGTCATGTTCACAGGCCTTCACTAGTATTCAGGGTCCACATTTGAATGAGCCAGAAATATTCCTGTCTCATTCAGATTAGAAAAAAAGGTTTTGCTGCATGAGACAGTTTATCTACCCATCACTGGGGAACAAAAAGTGAGGGTAGCAGGTCCTGCAGCTAAGTAAGACAGTGGGAGATTTGGGAGATTCTATCTGCACAATTACAATAATTAGTAGCATTAACCAAATTGTTCTGTTTACAGGAAGTGTATGTTTTGACTTAATATCTCTTTTGATTAGATTCCAAAAGCAATAGTTATCTATTACTAGGACGTTTTGGGGATCCAAAAAAAAAAGGTCTAATCACATTGGGTTTTCCTAAATTCCTCACCTAAGTGTCAGGCATACTCATATACTGAAAATATAGCAAGGATTGTTTCATATTTATGTGCCACTGTTCACCTAGCAGTTTGAAAGAGTTCTGAAGTGAGGCAGATTAAGCTTTCCAAGTATCTAATCTCAGCCATATTTTAAGGATCTATGACAGTGAAGATGTATCCACAGTAATGATTAATTTTTTTATTCAATCCAACAGGATTTACACTTATCCAATTCTGTTTAATCACGGTTAGCTAAATGTCATCTCTCATTATATAAATACTTACTGTGTCAGTTCGAGTGTAGCTTTTCTAGAAAAGGTCCAAGGTGTTCTCTCCGTTTTATCTTTTGGGATATCGTTTTTATCTTCATAGCCCAGGAAATACAGTGAGAACTTCATAGTAGGAAAGTCAAATTTTTGAAGCAGTCTAAATGGTGACAATTATTTTGAAACAGTAACTTAAAAGGGTGATCAGGTAGCTTCTGCTATGGAGGAATTATTTCTGTGAATTTTTGCCTTTCTGTAATTCACATCTTAAAATAGCTACATTTTAAACTATCAAATAAAACCATCCAGAACCCATTACAAACCTACAAAAATTAGAAGAAATAGATTCTTAAAGGCAGAGTACCAGTAAGTAAATAGCAAAGTCAGTACATAGGCTTGGGCCTTGAGGATGTCACTCTGTTACTTGTCTGTATTTCCACTGGAAGATCTTTAACAACTTATTCTTTGGTGAAATTTTAAACTTACACATTTTGAAGAGGTCACTGGCATCAGACGAAGTTTTAAGAACATAGCAAACACACCTTTAGATGAAATACTTTTACGATTTCAATAGCTAGCTATAATAATAAAATTGATTTCCAATGTGACAATTTAATCAACTAAAAAATACTTGAGGCATACATTTTTATGTAGAACATTTAACTGGAACAAGTAGGCACACAAAATGAATCTAATTTCTTTTTCAGCTTGCAAAGTACTTAATTTTTTTTTGACACATTTTCACTACAGTGGAAGTACTTTATTTTACTTTAATCTGGACTCTTTTCAATATATTTAAAAACACAGTGGAATTTTGTTTTGAAATAAGTCACATCAAATGGCAAGAAAGTGCAAAGAGGCTCAGCATGAACTCATCAGACTACTGCAGGGCATCTGCCTCCCAAAAGCCTTCTCCAAAAGACTGAGTTTGGACCTTCTCTCCACCCTCTGTTGCCTTGTTCTTTTATAACTGGAGGTGGTCATCAGCCACCTCTGAGAACTAGTAGAAAACTTAATTTGAAGATTTATAGCAATGACTCCTGATTATAAGCACTGTCATAACAATTGCCAGTTAGCTGCAGCCTCAGTGAGGAGGAAGTAAGCAAGTTGTACACTCATAATTAATGACCTATTTAGGAAAAAAAGAAACTTCTAGTCAAGGCCCATATTAACTCATTTGCAGCTTAGGCATTAACCATGCTATTGGAGTCCTCAGAGACTCTGCCAGACTGTCTAACTGAGCATCAGCTGATGGGCCAGCATTGTTTATGTAGTTGGACCAATTAGTATAATTACATAAAAATAAAAAAAATAAAAACAGGAGGAAAACGCAGGCTTATTGTGGCATATAACTTCTACTCACGTCATTCCAAGAACCCTTGTATAAAAATCCAATGACTTCTTAGGATCTTTTACTCTTAACATTGTCTGCTGGAACATAAAATCCTGTGGGGAAGAAAGGTTTATTATTTATACACCAACCAAAATTGAATTATGGGTATTAACAAAGTTAGTAATGAATCTAAAACCAGGAGGTTCAGAAGTAACAAACAGAGGACTACATTAAGGGTAAATAAACCTTTTTGTCCTGATCCTACACATACAGATTTTTGTTAAACCAATATGCCTTTGTAACATAAGGTTTAAAACAAATAAAACCATGACTGATATCACTCAATACATATTATCAGTGGTATCAAAAAACAGTATTCTTCTTACATTTATTATTCTTTTATGGGGCTGTAGAACACATGAACAACTTCACATGCAAGCAGACCAGATATGTGAATATTCGATATTGGGCCTCACTGCAGACATAGAATTTAAATACAGATAAACTCCTGAACTCATCATTTTTATTATTTCATTGCACAGGTGTTGAATTTCTGCCAAGCTTGATGATATCTCGGCAGCAAAACCAGGCTCCAACTCTGTAAGGATATTTTCTGGAAGCCACAAGGCAACTCTAAATACCAGGGGGCTTGTGAACGACTAAGTGGGTAAAAAGTGAACGGTAGGACAGTAGACAGAGGTAATGAGAGGAGGGGGAAAAAAAGGCAGATGTAGAACCACTGAAATGCAATTACGTTCTTCTAATAAAAAAATAACAACGTTTGGGGTGGTTTGGGGTTGCTTTTGTTCGGGGGCTCACAGGAGCCGGCCCCGCCCGCCTGCCCCCTTCGCCACCACGCTCAAACCGCGCCAGGCCGGTCCCGCCGTTCAAGCCGTCAGGGCAGCTCCGTGCCGAGCGACCCCCGCCGGGACCCTTCCCGGCCCCATGCCGCCTCCCATCCACCGCACGTCCGCCCTGCAAAGAGCGGCGCGGGGACCGGGGAAAGGCGGGCACCGGCGCCGCCGCAGAGCAGCCGCCGGCAGCCCCGGGGCTCCCGCGTCACCCCCATCCACCCCACCTTCGTGCTGGCATCCGGCTCCGAGCAGGCGCCGTAGGCTGCCTCGTCCGTGAGCCCGCTGAGTTCTGCGGGGGCCGCCATGTCGGGAGAGGGAGAGACGGAGGAGGAGAAAGAGGAGGAGCAGGACCCGGAGGGAAGGCGGAGCTGCGGCCCGCCCCGCCTTGCTTGCTGCCGGGCCCCTCCCTCGCAAGGGAGCCCGTGGAACGCTGTGTGGGTGTATGGTCAGGTTCCGAACAGGGTTCTGCCTGTTCGTTCGTGATATCGAGCCTCTCAAGATTTGAATCAAACTTCGTATGCTTGGCTAATCTTTTTGCTTTACGAAAAAGCGAAGACGAGTGGGCTATCTGGACGATAGCCATCAGGAGTGAAGTCAGCAAAACTGAGCAATAACTGGGACAAAGGTAATTCCGGCAATCGTGACCACCGACTCATTGACCACCTACTCAAAACAGACTCCAAACTCAAATGGAAGGAAGAACCGCACCTGCGGAATAATTAGCATGAGAAGAGAGAGCTACAACTAACAAATAGGGGATTAAATACTAATTAATAGAAAAGTTGTGTAGTTTGTAACCAATTAATGCTGATGCCTTAGTTTATTGAAATGTATGAATAGTGTAAAATTTTGATGATCGGGCAGCCAGCCTTTCATGAGTTACAACCCAGCTCCCTACTTTGCGCAAACTAGAATAAAGAATAGAAATACCTCGCCTTGATGTGTGAATGGGTGCTGTGCACCCAGTAACAAGCCCATGTTCGGGATACGATAAGGAGCCTCCCTGAGGAAGGAGCCTCCCTGACTGTGGCGTTACTTAGCTGAAGCGTGGAATGAAAGCATGGATCCCTCATGCTGACTTGATGATACATTCCTCCAGCTTCCATCTTCCACCACCAGGCCGAGGGTACCACACCAGCACCTGGGCAGGCACAGGCACTGTAACCCAGCTCCATTTGAATGGTGATCCTTTTGTAAATCCTGGTGGGATCAGGCTGGTTGGGAATCCTAGACTTGCCCTGTTCACAAACATACATATGGTGTGCTCAATATAATATGTTACCTCATTAATGTTTATTAATTAAAATATTTAAAGAGGGGGTGCCAAGAGGATGAAGCCAGGCTTTCCTCGGTGGGGCTGAGCAATAGGACAAGAGGCAACAGGCAGAAATTGGTGCACAGAAAGTTCTACCTGAATATCAGGAAGAACTTCTTTACTGTTTGGGTGACCGAGCACTGAAACATTACCTAGAGAGGTTGTGGAGTCTCCCTCATTGGAGATATTCAAGAACCACCTGGATGCAATCCTGTGCAGTGTGCTCTAGGATGACCCTGCTTGAGAAGGGAGGCTGGACCAAACGACCAACTGTGGTTCCTTGCAACCTTACCAATTCTGATTCTGTGATTTGATATTGACAGAGGTTGGTTTCTGCTTTTGCCTCCAGGCACTGGGAGAAGATTCCAAGTAGCATATGTCACCCTCCAGAGTTATGCAGTGACCATTAGTATAATCAATCATTTCAGGCCTAAGAAAGATGAATAGTATTTTTCTCAAAAACTCAGCATGAAAACCAGGATAGAATACTCGGGGGGGGGGGGGGAGGGATTAAAAATTAACTTTTGATAATCGAGAGGAAAGCACTTGCAGTGCAGCGTTCCCTCTGCCTTACTCAAGTAACTTCCATGGCCGCATTCAACCACACCAACCCCCCGGGGAAGGGGGAACCCACGGGACCCCCGTACACGAGACCTTTACGGTAGAATGACAGCTTCTGGGGGTCGAACTTCGGCCGGTCCTGCGCGGGGCCGCAGCGACGCGCGGGCACAGCGAGCGGGCGCCGGCAGCGCCTCTGCGGCTCCCGGGCCGGCGCGGGGTCCGCGGGCGGCAGCGCCGCCTCAGCCCCGCGGCCGCGGCTCCCGGGCGGGCGTTGGAGACGCTGGCCCGAACCTCGGCCCGAGACCCGGCCCGAGACCCGGCCCGAGCCCCCGCAGCTGTTACGAGTCCGCTGCGACCCCTCTCCAGGATCTCATCTGCCCGGCGAACGCCCGGGCGCGGGAGGAGTCGCAGGCGGGGAGGAGCCGCCCCGCGGCGGGCGCCGGGCGTTGGACCCCCAGCTCCGCCCGCTCCGGCCGCTGAAGGGAGCGCCGGCGGGCGCTGCGCTGCCCCGGCGCTGCTCCCGGCTCCCCGCCCTGCGAGGAGGCATCGCTCCGGCGAGGTCGGTGAAGCTCTTCGCCTGAATCTCTCTGCCAAAGCTGAAGTGCCGGTTAAGGCACTTCAACTTTTCAGAGGAGAGTCAAAAGGCCGTATTCTCCGTGCTCTGTGCTTAGGAATGCTCCACTTTCCTCCCTCACCTCATCCTTCTTCAGCCCTCCTGAGATGCATGCTCGAAGCCAGACCTACTCTTCTTGAATGAATAGATCCTGTAGACAAGGTTTTGGGCATTCTGGAGGGGAGGAAAGGGGATTTTGGCATAAAAGCACATCTGCTGTTCCAGACGGGAGAGGTGGGCAGCTGGAGTTCATGCAGGTTTTTGAAAAGTGAAAATCTCAGCTGAGCCACCAGATAATCTTGAGTATAGATTTTGGAGAGCCAGGGAGGATGCCAGTATACAATGAAGTCTTTGTGGTTTTTTTAAAAGAAAGCTGTGAGAACCCCACCTCTTTTATCTTGGGCTTTAGGGACTTTAGGGGAAGGTATCAGCTAAAAGAGAACTAGTTAAAAGGCTAGAACCTTTGTGCCTGAGTGGAATAATCAAGGAGGAAAGTATCCCTGCTAACCTTGTAGACGACCAGGCCAGTCATAGAAAAAATGAAGAAAAAACAAAAAGCAAAGGAATGTAATTAATTAAGGTGGTTTTTTTTTCCCTGAAATTTGTTTTGTGTGGTTTTTTCGGTAGTATTTTTACTTCGAGAGACAGATGAACATTTTCTCTAGCAGGTGATCGTATGCCAAAGACCGTAGAATAGTGGCCACTTTGTCACCTATTACATCAGCAAAAATAAGGAGCTAGTAGTGTAATACCAAGTGTTGCTTTTCAGGTCAGCCTCACCTTTGATTATTTCTTGAATCAGGCAATAGTGTCTAAGAGAGTGGATAACACTGCTACATCTGCGATTGGCTGCCCTAAGGCCCTCACAAGAGCTACTAAGGAATTCTTGATAGTTATTGTAATCCTTGTTGTAATAGTATGCTGAGTAGAATAGCAATTTCTGTGTATGCAAGTTTTTTGTAAGATCAGTTGCTGAATTTGTGTATATATTTTAGAAACTAAAATTTAAACAAACCATTTGTACTCTAAACCATTTCTATTTCTCAGTAATCAGATATGCACTGAAAGTATTAATATTTTAAAACATATTTGTTATATAGAAAGATTTTCACTCCACAAAACATAAACGTATGATAAATTGATTTTAAAAAATGTTTTCAATCTTCAGCTTGACATTTGCAAGCTATCATAAAATGTATCTAAATGTCTGATAAGAACTGGAAGAGGACTCTATGCGACTACTGAATTTATATCCTTGGGAATTCGTTTTTGAGATGCTCCTGTTTTCTTGAAAAGGTAGACTTTAAATGTCTGGATTGTTATAAACATTTTTGGTTTTTTTGCAAATTCCAGATTTCAGAATGGAGGGGGTACAAAAAAGTAATAAAGGAGGTTCAAACACTCGAGAAAATGCTGGGCGTAATCTCACTGGTTCTATCATGAAATCAGAAGACGCCGTAACCAGAACTACTCACCCTGCTCAACGAACAGGAAGCGTTTCCTCTTCTCGTGGATCTTTTTCAAGTCAAAGTCTGTCTAAGATTTACCGCCCTAGTGTAGCGACAAACATACAAAGTTCCAAAGCAAAACAGGTTATAAATTTTTTCAGATCATTAAATACAGTTTATATAAACAGTTAGTTTTGGGGGGTTTTATTTTTATTTTTTTTTTATTTCTAAATTTCCTTATACTCGATCCTTTTACTAAATTATTTCTGGTAGAAAGTGTGTCTTTGTTTTCAATGTTAGTAATATTCTAAGATTTTATTTTTAAAGTAATGGGGCCCCTGGTGGTCTAGTGGTTAGGGTGCAGGACTCTCACCACTGCGACCCGGGTTCGATTCCCAGCCCCCCGGGCAGATGGAGCTCGTTAGCCCTGTAAGGCAATCCATCTAAGAGAAGGTCACTCTAAACAAACCTATGTCCTGGGAACCTCACTGCCACTGTCCAAGCTTGCTTGGCCCCGGCAGATGAACCTCAGGATTAAAGGGTGGGCTCAGTTCAGCGCACGCTGTGTCTCACCTAAAAAATCCACTGCGCAGGCTCGAAGGGTTAATGACCTTTCCCAAATCTTTGCTCGCGAAGACTGGCCATTATTTTAAAGTAATAGAGGAAGGAAGAAGGAAATATTAATTGAATCATTTACATTAAAGCAAAGCTCTACTCTGTTCCTGCAAATATTTACCCATGTTTTGACCTTTCTGTATTAATATAATAAATTGAAATTTTGATAGTGAAAAATAAAATCAGTTAATATGTCACAGAAATATTTTAAAATCTAGCTAGTAGTATTTTTAATATTTGTTTTTCCTTGACATATCCTTAGAGTTGAGTTTACATCTTATCATAATTCTTAATTATTTGTTCTTCTGTTAGCCTCTGAAAGTTTAGATATTTTTAAAGAGTAGGGCATTTATGTAGTTGCATAATACAAGACAGTAGATTTCAGCATTAACTGCAAGTTAAATAGGTCATTATTGTGATCATTTTGTGTATTTTTAGTTTGAAAGATATGTTTCATGTTTTAGGCTCAATACATACAAGCAAGAGAACATCGAAAAGCACAAATTAATGCTTCATATAAATACATATTTGAAGTTCTCAGTGCCAGGATAGGATTAGACTTAGCAACTGTGGAAGAAATGATTTTGGATGCCCCTTCGGTGAGTCTGTTCTGTATACTTGTTGATTTAAATTGTTAGTTAAAATATGTAGCAGATTACCTATTTGATTTGAATTGTTATTCATCACTTTGATTGTTTCTGCCAGAAAATGTGATTATTAAGGCACACAACTCATCTAAAAGGATACCTGACTAAATCTTTCAGCTTAGTTTCCTGGCAGATCTGCAAATATCCCCAAGGTTTTTGATTGTGGCTTTTTCATCTTTCTTATCTCAAGGAAAATATAAATACTGCTGTTGTTTTGACTGAGGAATTTCTGGTCACATCTACCAGTTCCAACAATTTTATTCATCTCAGCCTGACATTATTATATTCTAATGATGATCATTTTTATTTGTTAAGCAAGTTCTCACTGAAATTCCAAAGATTCTGCAAAAACTTCGTGGGAAAATTTTGAAAATTAGGAGTGCTGTTAGTAATAAGAGGGGCAATTAATTAATCCTGCATCATTTAAATACTATAATGACATTTGGAAAGACCCACTGAATAATTTCAGTTTTGACTGCTTTGTTTATTTTTAAATGTTTTTTTTGTGATACATAGCATTTCCAGTTTTAGTTTATTCATAAACAATTTAGGCTGTTGGGGCTATGTTAACACTGTCCTTCAATGAATTGTCATTTAATAAATTGCCATATACATATCATGTCTTTGACATCCATGAGCTAGGTTTAACCCTTTAAAACATTAGCCTGCATATGTATTCACACAGTGAGTGTGGGTACCACATGGACACGAACCGAAGCTCTTTGCAGAATCAGGAGCTGCAGTGACAGCTCCTGTCTTACCTTGGATGTAGAACCATAGAACCCCAAGAGTTAGTTTGCCTTTCTCTTTTGTCAGTGAGCTTTCAGTACTTTAACAATTTTCTTTTTTTTTTCCCTATTTTTGAGGTGGAGATTTTTAATGTGTTTTTCTCAGTTTTAACCTTGTTATTCACTAGTACCTAGTAACCAAAGCAAAATTGATTTCTAGAGCTGGCTTGCTTTTGCTTCTTTTGTTTTCACGTGATGTTGTCTTCTCACAAGAGTGGGTTTAAATCCTGTCCACCTGGGTGTCACTCATCTTCCTATCACTGTTTTGATTCAGTTTTTATATTTTCTTATAAGAAACATAAACTCCTAAGGAATATACCACATCTAGAAGTGCATCCTTTGTCCTTGAACAGGTGATTTGTCTCCAGAGATCGTTGCTTGCTAAATTTCTGATGTTTTTCTGATGGGGAGGAAACAGAAGGTCTCACTACCAAGGCTGAGCCCTTCAGTTGGACAGTTTGAATGCCCAATCACATCTTGTTGAGCTAGTTGTCCTTGCAGATACTTACAGAGACTGTGAAAGAAGCTGAATTTTGACCAAATCAGTCAATATCTTGTGATCTCTGTGTCTTCTTTCAGTGCTTTTCAGAGCTTTGTTCACTTCCTATTAAATCCCATATCCTGGTTTTACCAGGACACACGAATTGTCTAGGACAGTTTGAAGATTTGGATTTTTGAAACTCTAACTCTAATTTCAGGCAAGTTCTTCAGAATGACAATCCATACACAAGCAGTGTTTGTTACAAAGCTTTCCATCCTTGCACCATCCAAAGCACCTTGTGTAACATGACAAAATCAAAATGGACATCTAGAGACCTGTAGTCTCTACTACACCTTTTAGGGTGGCCAGTTTATGGACAGGTACAGCAAGCTAATTATGAGGCAACATGGTCTCCCTCAGATGTGATCTCATTGTTCTTCCAGAGGTCAGCAAAATCTTTCTCATCATGGAAAACTTTGGGAGCCAATGTGGCCAGTTCATGTCTCCAGAATAAAATGTTCA